GTATAACTATATGTGTCCCAGAAATTGTTTTCTCATCAATAATTTACATTTTTGTATTATTGTTTGGGTTAACGTAGTAAAAAATCATGTCACTTGCTTTCTCATATCACTCGAGTTTAGCTCCTAAAATATTTTGTAAATAAGGAACGTCAAAATCTTTTAATTAAAAAAAGATCTTCTAAATTACGCCTTATTTAAAAAAAAAAAAACAAACAGCGGAAGCCATTCGCACACGTCGAAATGCGTTTCGCAAACTTTGGATAAGTGTTTTGGGCTTCTTTTCATGCCCATTCAGAGGACTTCTTAGAGCTCAACTCCTTGGGCTCTCCTTTTTTACCTGAGACAATAAAACTGGACCCAAGATAAACAACATTTAACCAACAACCATAGGAAGCCCATAAAAGCTTCACTACAGGAGGACATTTCAGCATAATAAATATTGGCAAATCTCTAAAATAGGTGGGAAAAAAAATAGGGCGTAGAATTTATGCACATAAGGCGACTTTGGGAATTGATGACTCATCAACATCAATATGATTTATAATTTATGAAAAATCATGCTAGAAATTTTAAGGCAAAGTTAACCATATTCCCTCCAATCTTTATTATAAATTTTAAATAATTAATTTACAAATAACAAATAATAAGTTAAAATTAGTAAAAAATAATAAATATGTTAAAAATATAATTTTATTTCTAAATATGCCCTTATAATAAATTTTAAAAAATGATGAAAAAGATTGTGTGGGAAAATGTGATAAGAGAGAATTTAGCAATTGAGAAAGAATCAATAATTAAGGGCAAAATTGGGGGAAAAAACAAGAAGTGTTAAGACAAATCCTAAATCAAGACTTATAAAATATACCACACTCCTCCCTAAATTTAAAGCTTATAAATAAGATGGGAGGGAGTATTTAAAGTCTTTTTTGATAAAATATGATAGAAATAATTTATAAATATGACTAGAATAGCAAGTCATATTTAATGCATTAATTAATGATTTAATGATATTTTTTCTGTTTTGTCTTTGGTTTCACATAATAAATGAGAGAAAACATTAAATTTAATGCATTAAGCAGGGGCAGTGGTGGGAATGAATGTAATTATTTTCTTTTGACAAATTCAATGAATTTGCAGATTTTATGCATAACTTAGCTTGGGAAATGTGCCACATTATTTCAAATTAAACAATATACTTTTTGATACTATTTATAAGTCAATTCTAATACATTTCGTACAAATAAAAAAAATTTAAATTTTATTAACGTTCATTTAAAATTCAACAACTTTTTAATTTTTTCCTATTTAGTATATATTATATCTAATATAAACAAAGTCAACATAATAGTAAATGAGGGAGAAGATTATACATCCATACAAAAAATTTCTCTTAGTGACTTATAAATAGGACTAAAAAATATTTTCTCTTTCTATCTTATAAATAAGATCAAAAGAGTACCTCCTCCGATCTTTTTCTTTCTTTCTCCCCGCGCTCTCATCTTTGTTATAACTTAAGCGATATGAGATGCATTTACTACCGCATCTTTATTGTACTCTCCTTGTTCAAAATATTGGTTTATATTTTTAATCCTGGTTGATTTTTTTAACAATCTTTTTTGCCACCGATTTTTTAACAATACTAAATTTGAAATTTTCACAAACTTTTAGGGTGTGTTTGAATTGGCGTTGGGTAAAAATGACTTTGAACTCAACTGACTTTTGTAACTGAAGTTAGAATAAAAGTCAGTTAGGGTATGTTTGGATAGATGATTAATAGAAAAGTTAGTTTAGTTGTAAAATGACTGAAAAGAACATAAACTTTATTGAATAGTAGTGTTTGAAATTTTCTGTTTTTAATGTGATAATAGTTTAAAAAATACGTAAAATTATTATGATAAAATATAAATAGTTTATTTGTGAAATTATAAAATAAAAATATTTGTTACAAAGAAAAATTTGAAAGCATATTGTAGATAATTAATTAAATATACATAATAGACAAACATAAATATAAATTAAAATTCATTTGGTCTAAATAAAAGCTCATTATGCTAATGGAGGAGATGAGGCAGAGGGAAAAATGTGAGAGTAAATCTGATATGCTTAATTTTAATAATCACTGTTTGAAACTGCAGTTTGAGTGTATTTTTGGATTGGCGTTGGGTAAAACTGACTTTTAACTCAACAGATTTTTGTAATTGAAGTTAGAGTAAATGTCAGTTAGGGTATGTTTAGATATGTGTTTCTAAAAAGTCAGTTGAAAAAGTTGAAAGTTGTTTGGATGATTAATAGAAAAGTTAGTTTAGTTGTAAAATGACTGAAAAGGACATGAACTTATAGTAGTGTTTGAAATTTTATGTTTTTAATGTGATAATAGTTTAAAAATACGTAAAATTATTATGATAAAATATAAATAGTTTATTTGTGAAATTATAAAATAAAAATATTTGTTACCAAGAAAAATTTGAAAACACATAAATGGACAAATATGAATATAAATTAAAATTCATTTTGTCTGAATAAAAGCTTATTATGCTAACGAAAGAGATGAGGCAGAGGGGAAAATGTGAGGGTAAATCTGGGATGCTCATTTTTAATAATCACCGTTTGAAATTGCAATTTGAAAAGTCAGATTTTTGTTCGTTGAGTCCAACTGAGATTGAAGCCAGAAGTTGGTTGGAAAAGTTAGCCCAGCCAAACAACAATTTTTGTCCAATTCAATTTGCAATCTCAGTTTCACATATTCCAAGGCACAACTGTAGTTCCAAACTGCAATCCAAACATACCCTGAAAAGTCATATTTTTCTACGTTGAGTCCAACCAAGGTTGAAAACTAGAAGTTGGTTAGAAAAGTTAGCCTAGCCAAATAATAGTTTTTGTCCAACTCAGTTTGCAACTTCAATTTCACAAATTTCAAGACAGTTTTACAGTTTCTAACTACAATCCAAACATGCCCTTAGATAGTGTAAATAAGGTTTAAGACTCACCTTAGTAATTGCTGGCAGAAAAAAAAAAAAGACTCACCTTATTTATAATAAACAAGATTGAAAATGACTTATAAAAAATGAAAGTATTTTATTTTAATGAATTGACGTAACAATATAAAATGTAGAATTTATAAAAAGGACGTTATTATTCACAGGCAATGAATAATGCAATTCCACTCAAGTTTTGCACAATTTCTTTATTTTTTTTAAAAAAAATCACAACTTTAATAATATAACAATATTTTCCGATACAGGTGAAAATATTAAAAACACTTCTACCTCTGGTTGTTGATGTAAAAACTAGTTAGAGATTCAATTTAGTTCTAATTTTTAAATATAAGACCTTAATTTACTTTATCTCTTATATTTATCTATTTTGTCTACATGTAATGTCTATGGTGATTGCAAGAACTGTTTCAATACATATGATTAACAAAAACATTTTTTTAAAAAAAGTACCTATTCACTATAAAAAAAACTAATTTAACTAACTTTATTAATATTCGATAATTAGTTATCTAATTCTTATATTAAGGGTTATAGGGAAATACTTACAATAAGGGCATGAGAAAATATGAAAAAAAAAAAGTCAAATAAGAAGGTTCCCATAAAACCACAATTTTATGCATTGCTCGTCTCTATCCATTTCTATAGAAGTATTATGCCAGAAGTAAAATATCTGGAATTTCGGATGCATCACAAAACCACTTGCGCAGTGTGTTTTGACTATTAGAGAGGCTCTTATAACTGTTTTTAATGCATGGATCCCTCTCTTCTATTAAGGAGTAAGCCTTTAAATGCACTTACAATGTCTGTCTCCCACTACTACTGTCTTATGCTAAAACTGTCCGTTGCTTCAAAATATCATTTCAAACTTATCGGCTATCCAAACTAACTCCTCTGTCTATTTTCTGAAATAATTAATGGCTTTTTTCCTTGAATTAATGATCTTTTCATGATCATGTATCAATATAAAATTTTAAAAAGGTAAGGGTGCATTCATCGATCACCTGATCTTGTTTTTCAAAGTATATTCATCACTCTGATTTTTTATATAGTATATTCAGCATTCTGATCTTTTTCTGATACATTTGCCACTCTGATATTATTTTTTTTAGTTACATTTAGCACCTTAATATTTAGAGTGTTGGATCCAATAAAAATAAGATGAGGGTATTGGATGCACTATAAAAAAATTAGGGTATTGAGTACACTAGAAAAAATAAGATTAGGTTACTGGATGTATCTTTACCCAAATTTAAATTTAAAACAAATTAGTACAAATTATTCAAAAGTTGTTGGAGATTTTGTTCCAATGACACCCAGTGCTTCTCCTAAATCTTTCTCAAACGTAAGGTTATTGACTCTATATCCTCTGTAAATACGATGGGGTATGTGAATTTATTTTACATATAGACTGGTCCCTAGTTCAAACTAGTTAAACTGGTTAACTCTTGTAGCAGTGATTGCAGCGTGAAATATTTATCATTTCACTTAAATTTGTACTTAAGAATAAGTCTTTTTTTTGTGTGTATGAATTTATAACTAGGAATTCATAAAACATTTCCCCCATTTAAATGCCATATTCCATTCAACGGCTGTATTCTGTTCTATTTTATTCATCAGCAGTTTGAGCAAGTCACCTTAAAAGGAGCATCAAAAGCAAGATCAGAGATTTGGAAGAGAAATAGCAAACTCATAGATTCATTTATTTGCTAAGATAGAACGATATGCATTTATTCACGATAAAGATAGGTAACACACAGCTGAAAACGAAGAGTTCAACGATAAGTTAACAGACACACAATATGCATATCTCATCATAGAATGGATCGACTCGGGCTAGTTCTTCCCAGGAAGATTTCCGACAACATCAAGCAGGTCAGTGTTCTTGCAGTTGGGGCATTCTGGGTCAAATTTCAGGGCCATCACATAAATGAAGCAATTCACACACCCCATCACGATCAGTGAAGACATCTTGTCTCCTTCCAGATTCTCACCAGACTCCTCCTCCTTGTTGTTGGATGATATGAAAAGATTTGAGGAAAAAAATTAGAAAACAATACCTCAACTTGACAAATGCTGCAAGGGTTTCAAAATGATCATAATATAGATTCATGCGTATAGTTTATTGGATAACTTGATTTAACTGTCAAAGCCAACAAAACAAGACTCATAGTTAAGCTGAGAATCCCATATAGTTAAGTTATTGTGAAAACAGATTCAACAATGTTTTATTAAAATAAATAACTAATGGTTATCAATATAAAAATATAAATTACGAAAAATTAGCCAAAAGAAAGCAAACAATATTTAAAAGCCAATCATGCATCAAATCAGAAAGGCCAGCGGATCATTGTTTTTATGATTCAATTGGTTAGAACAGTAGTCAAACTGATGACATAATAATTAAATAAAATATAATAAAAAAACTATATGCAAATGAAGTTTTTAAGGAAGAAATGCTATATATCCCTAAAATGGTCTGAAAATATGTTGAGTTTTTTTTCCCTTAAAAGCGTCAATTTTTTTGATATTTTTTTGTCAAGCTGAAAAGCCGTCTAATTTTTAAAAACTATTTCGGTTCTCGATCTAATTTCGTACTTTGACTTAATGGTGGCTCAATTTTGATCTAATCTAACTCAACCATAAAAATAATTGTCTCGTCCAAATCGATCCACTGCGAGTTTGATCAACGATCCAACCGATTAGACTATTTGATCGGTTCATCACTGAAAGCAACCAAAAATTACAAACATGTGAACTGTAAAATCCAATCCATGAGTTTGTAACTAAAATTTTCATTGTATCCAAATCCAATTAGATGCTCTAATCTTGCATCTAGGGAATTAATTTCCCTTTTTTTTTGAAAAAATTTAATCTAAATTAATCCATAAAACAATTTTAGGGTTGAATCACGCCATATCATAATAATAGGATATATTAAAAAACAGAATTTGTGGCGGTTTCATGTGAAGAGATCAAAAGAATTCAATTTGAAAAATAAAAAAACAAAGTGAAATAATTGAAAAATTCACCTTAGATTTAATATGACCCTCCACCAGAAAATACGGCTCGTCATTCAATTCAAGATGAGTTAAATGAGTGATCTTAGAAGATTCGTCAGGATCACCACGAGAGTGATCCGTGCCGATGTTCGACTTTTGATCACCGACACGAAAATCATTCCTCAGAGTATCATTCCTTTTCCCCTCATCAGTTGGTGCACCTTGAACTTGTTGAAAATGTTCAAAGGGTGTGGCCATGGCTGAAGATTGGATCAAGTGATTGTTTGATTTTTAGTTTGTGCAAAACCAAGATGTATATATAGTGAGTGAATATGGTTTTTGCAGCACATTGATTAAAAAAAAAAACAAAGAAATTTGAACTTTTCACCACCTCCATATTTAAAAGAACAGTTAATGAATTAAAGTGATGGATTTTAATTGATTCAAAAATAATAAATGCAGGCATAATATTAAAATAATCAGATTATAGTTTCCATACAAAATTTGAGAATTCCAAAGGAAGGAAAATAAATTTTATGACATAAATAGCGATATTTTATTTTGGGAGTTAAGGTGTAAATTTATCTCTGAAAGTTTTCACTCGAGAACGATAGGCATTCAAAAGTTTTTTTAGGTATAAATTTGTCTCAAAAGTTTAAAATCATGGCAATGTTGCCCCTATTATTAGAGATATTAATGGTCAATTTGCTGTTTTAATAGTCAACGTTAGCTTTTTAATGGTAGAGTAACACTGCTGTGATTTTATATTTTCAAGGCAAATCTGCACCTAAAAAAATTCTGGATATCCAACACTCTTGAGCAGAAACTTCTAAGATAAATTTGCAGCTTTTGTTTCTAATTATAAGATAACATTTTGAAAGTTCTTATGTTCATATAAACAATAAAATTTACAAGATTTGAGAACTAATTCATATGTTTTCAAATGTCTCTAATAATGATGAATTGCTTTCCTATTTTCACTATTTTACATAAAATTAATTAAATTAAACAATTAAAATGAATTAAAGAATTCCAATTTTTTAATTCTAATATATTTTTGAATAAAAAAAACTTTGTGACCTACCGTAAAGTAAAGTTAAAAAAGCTTTAAATAAACAATGAGTATTAATTGAGGGCATAAGTGGAAAGAGAAAAAGTTTTGTGTTAAGTCGCTAAATGGTTAATGATATCTAATCACAGTTTTCTTATATCTCCAGAGGTATGGATATGGAAAGTTCTTCCTTTTGACAGTTTGAAAAGTTCAATGTTCAGTCTTGAAAGATAGATGTTGGATTTTCTATATGGAAAAGTATAGCCATAAATCACACTCTTTTATTTGAAACCCATGCCTAATTGTGGCTGTGACTTGTGAGGTTATAAGCCTAATTGTATGATCTATGTTGAGTGGATTACCCCATTCTAAGTCAACTGAGTGTTTTGCTAAATGTTGCAAGAGAAACATTTTGAGGGATTAAGCTTCTAACTTTAATTCTCTCCATTTCACTTTTTAATCTTAATGCATCTTTTTTTGCTTGTCATTAAACTCTTTTATTAATTGAGACCTTTAATTGACAAGGTTAGATTTAATAGAAGAGACTAGTTTCTCATAATATGATGAATTAAAATTTAAATTTTTACCTAGAAAATTGTTTGTATTTAATGTCTAATAGTATCTCGAATAAGATTGCCTTTGATAGAACGATGCTTGTCTTATCAAAGAAAAATATATTGAGGCTTTCAAACTTCAATGCTTGGGCCTCTTCCTTAGTCCAGATTTGAACCATGACACGTAGAGGTGATCCAAACGAGGCGTTTAAACTGCACTCATGTTGTGGGCCCGTAGTCCAATTCAAAGCATCCAGTTTCAATGCTTTTCATAAAACATTTCGACTTTACAAATATAAAGTTCCCAAGAAACGCATGGATGGCTCTGAATCCCATTAGCCTTAAGGCTTGTTTGCATTATTTAGTGTTTATAAACACTTTCGCATACATTGAGAAAAAAATTATCCTCACATACTTATTCCGTACTTTGTAAATGATGATAAAAAAAATTGTTTACAAGCTATTCCAAACAAGTTATTAACTACTCCCTCCGTCTCATTTTATAAACCACAACTACCATATCCCTTCTGTCCCTAAATATAAGCAATATTTGCAGGCTGTCTTAAATTTTTATAGCGAATTTCTTATTTTGTTCTCATTAATTACTTATTTTAATACTTAATTTATTTATTATCTCATTTTCCAAACCATCATCTCTCTATCACACACTCTTTCTCTTTCATAATTTTTTTTATTATAATAATTTTCTTATTCTTTCTCCCTTCATAAATAAGGATATTTTAGTGAAAGAACTTCTAATTTTTACACATTTATTGTTTTTAACTAATTTTAACTAATATTTTGATCTACGCGAAGATGCCACTTGTAAAAAAGGACGGGGAGAGTATAAATTAGTTTTGATATGTTCATTGAAATTCCCTTAGTGAAGAAATTTTTAAAAAATTCCCTCTGTCCATGATCAACAAAACTAGAACTACTATCAATAGCGACAATAAGTTTCTTAATATTTAAAAATTAACTATTTAGCTTTCATATTAAGTATCAGGTCTCTCTTCTCTATCCATGATCAATAAAATTGGAAATACTATCAATAGCTACAATAACTTTCATAATATTCAAAAATTAGTTATTTGTCCATGATCAACGGAACTGGAACCACCATCAACAATAAACAATAACTTTCTTAATATTTAAAAATTAGTTATTCAGCTCTTATATTAAGTATACGATACTAATTGTCAACTTCATTAAACCTAAACATTTTAAGATATGATAACTGTCAAATCAAAGATTACCGACTTTAGTAGAAAACAATATATACATAATTTCACAAAAGCAAAAAAAAATCCACACGGGAGAGAATATGCTAAAAAATCAGAAGAGTATAAGAGACCTCATTTTCTCCCATCGTTTCCTTCCCCTCTAGGTTTTTGGGTTTTCACCTGTGAAGCCCGTAGCTCATTCTAGCTCCTTCACTGTTCTGTCTTAGTAGCAGGTGGAATCATATAGTATCCACCACTTGCGCGACAAGGTGCGCTAGCTTTGTTCTTGCAGGATTGGTTCATCTCTAGTTCTCTCTGTTTCTTCAATTTCGGTAATATTCACTTGGACCCTCTGTTTCGAAGAATCCTTTGCCTTGCGGATTTTGATACGTGTCACTATTAATTGTGGTTAAGTCATACGCATACATGTCATATACAGAGCACATCACAAAGAATCCTTTGCCCTGCGGATTTTGACAAGTACTTCGCTCATATTTAGGATCGATTTTCTAATATCAAGCATATAAATCCTATGGTTCAACTGAAACAATTACTGCAGACAGGCATGGTTGATGAATATATTGAATGTTTTGATCAACTTTTGACGGAGGTTGATTTACCTGAAGAGGTTGCGACGGATTGTTTCCTTGGTGGTCTTCGAGCTGACATACAATCGGTTGTGGATGCTTTCAAGACACCAAGCTTGTCGAGTATGATGTAGGTGACAAGGATTCAGGAACATACAGTGAATCGCAGGTAATGATATTGATTGTGCAAGAGGCTGATGACGAGGATTTTGTGGATGCTGTGGATAACTTGGATATCAATGCTAGTTAAGTTTGACAGAAAAATTAACGCCCTGTTAGGGGGGAGAACGATCATCCACTCTACGGATTGAAGCTATGTGAAGAAACAGAGGGTCGAAATTTTGACCGACGCAGTTAGCACTCATAATGTGATTCATGCTTTCGCTTGGAAGCGTTTGCATATTGCTTTGTTTTCCAGCGACACATTGCTAGGGGAATTTGCAGGGGATGCTCTGTTTTGGCTGATAAGGTTTCTAAAGACCTTTCTTGGTCAATGAATGGGCATACTTCTGTGGATGATTTCCTGGTTATGGATATAGGTCAATTTGATGTCATTTTGGGGCCTAATGGTTAAGGAACCTGGGCCGTATTATTTTAGACATGGAAGGTCAGATGATGGGCTTCTTTTATTAAGGGCACTAGTTTGAATTACATGGCATTGATCGTGTTGCTATTGCACCATCAGAGGTCGATTTGGGCCTTCGTGATTTATTACATGTTATGGAAAGTAAGGAAATAGGAGAGAGAACGAGGAAAGAGTAGGAAAAAATAGTAACAGAAATAGAGAAGAATTAGAGAAGAGCAAAGGACGAGTAATTTTTAATCACATTGCAAAAAATGCGTTACAAAGAATGGTGCATACTTATTTACAAGCAAAAGCCATAATCGATATAAATCTAAGTAAATATCATGATATCATCTAAATACTACCTCTGGTCTTAATTATAAGAGCTAGTTGACTAATTTAAAGAGATTAAAGAAAGAAGTTAAGTTAGTTATTTGTAATAAATAGATGTTGTCTTTTTTAAAATATCCTTACTAGTGTACTAGCTAAAACTACTATTGTTAAAAGAATTACATTGAAAAAAATACATAAATATAAGAGATAAAGTGGATTGGAGTCTTATATTTGGGACCAAAATAAAAGTCAAACATTTTGGTCCTAAATATAAGACCCCAATCCACCTTATCTTTCATATTTATCTTTTTTTGTTTTCAAGATGGTACTTGTAATAATAATAGTTCTATTTAATACACTTGATTAACAATGATATTTGAGGAAAGACAATATATATTTATTACAAATAACTAACTTAATTAATTTTTTTATCTACTTAAATAAGTTAACTAACTCTTATATTAAGGAGCGATAATTCCATTAATATCACTTAAATCTTTTATTTATAATTATAATTGCAAAATATATTTTTCTTGCTTGTTTTTTTTGGGGACCAGCACATCACATTATATGCCCAGCGTGTGTTTCTGGGTCAGACGGGCTCTAGGGTTTTGTTCAATCGCGTTAAGACTTGTCCCTCTCGGCTTCGCAACGGCACCAACTCAAGCAGCTTCTTCACTCTTTCTCTCTCGTTGGCCTGTAACGGAGTCAGAACTAGGAGGAGCCGAAAATGGTGAAGAAGAGCAAGAGTAAGAGAACTTGTTTATACGTTTTACCTTGTTACATATGGGCTGTCTCATTACGCTTACTTTTGCATCTCCCTTCCTTCTGAATTTTTGCCAGAGAGTAAGAGTAAAAGAGTTTCGTTGAAGAAAAAATACAAGATCATAAGAAAGGTAAAGGAGCACCATAAGAAAAAAGCCAAGGAGGCCAAAAAGCTTAATTTGAACCGGAAAAGGAAGGTTGAGAAGGATCCCGGCATTCCTAATGATTGGCCCTTCAAGGAACAGGAGCTTAAGGCTCTTGAAGCTCGACGAGCTCGTGTTCTTGAGGAACTGGAGCAAAAGAAAGCTGAGCGGAAGGAGAGGGTATTGCTTCACCTGGCAGTTTTTATTAATTTTGTTTGTATGAAATAAAGTTTCCATCCGTTTCTTAAAGAAGGACGAGTAAACTGCAAATATGTATGAAACTGTGAGCTTAATATTTATATCTTTATTTTTTCTTTGAAGAGTAGAATTCTAGAGACAATGTTGGATAGACCCTGCATATGGCAAAAGTTGAGACGGTCTTAAGCCTTCTATTTATTGTGCACTTCTTAGTGTAGGCTCTTTAAACGGTCTGCTTGCTTATAATTTTTCTTCTGGGTTTATTTTTGGGTCGACTGACAACATAGTTGGTGTAGATTGTTATAAACACCCGTAATTTACATATATGCATACATGGGCACACACTAAGGCAACCTATTCTTTTTCTGCACGCTGGGGGACTCAATACATAAAGTGAACACTATGTTATCCCTCCATTTTATGGGTTCAACGTATTGGAACTGCTCACCTCTAAATTTAGTTTTCTCCAATGCAGTTGTGTGAGTACGACTTTGTCATTCAGTTTTTAAAATCTATACTGCGGTTAACGCTGGTTTCAGGCTAGAAAGAGGAAGTTGGGATTAGTAGAGGATGATGATGATGTCTCCCGATTGGCTGAAACAGCAACTGTGACAGAGCAAAGTTTCACTGTAGTTGGGAAGAATCGAGGTTTTCTTTTGGTTGAAATTTCAATTTTGGTCAGATATATAATTTTCTTTCTTGCATACTTTATTTTTGCTGATCATGTCTTATTATCTTTTCTTTTTCCGAAGATAACTCAGACAGGGCCTTCTACAAGGAGCTGGTCAAGGTCATTGAAGCCTCAGATGTCATTGTGGAAGTCCTTGATGCCCGTGATCCCCTAGGGACCCGTTGCATTGATATGGAAAAGTTGGTGATGAAATCGGGGCCTGATAAGCATCTAGTATTGCTTTTAAATAAAATTGGTAATTTTCATTTGCCATTCTTGTTACCCTATGCATTTGTAGAAACCTATGTCGTTTACCTAGTTTTACTTCAGCTAATTATTTGTGCCCCTAACACAGATCTTGTACCTCGAGAAGCCGTGGAAAAGTGGCTTAAGTACCTCAGAGAAGAATTGCCCGCTGTGGCCTTCAAATGCAGCACTCAAGAGCAGAAGTCAAATTTAGGGTGGAAATCTTCAAAAAAATCCAAAGCAAGCAATCTTTTGCAAACAAGTGATTGTCTTGGGGCCGATACTCTGATCAAATTGTTGAAGAATTACTCTCGAAGCCATGAGGTAACATAACTTTTGGTATAAGGACGACTTTCCACCCAGAATTAGGATTTTGCCTTTGAATTTGCTCTTAGATGATTTGAATGAAATTATCAATTCTGTACTCATTTCAGTGGATGAAACCCTGGTTGATGTTTATTGGGCTGGGCTTATGATTTCCATTATTTGTTCTAAATAACTTTTTCTTAACCTTAAGCTTGGGGGATTGGCTAGTTATCTGCTTTGAACTCTGGCTGGGATGCTGATGGAAACATCTCGTTCAACTTTCTTCTGTCAATTTTTTTCCCCATTTTCTGGAATTGCCTAAACCTTTTGTGTCATCTCTGGCTTTGCTTTCGTCCAACTGCTTTGTTTTTCTTAACTTTTGAGTTAACCTCGTCATTGTTTTCTGTTTTGTAAATTGTCTTTAGAAGGGAACTACCCATCATAAACAAAACCTTTTGATTATATGCTAAACTATAGTGTTGATCCTATTCATACTTCTACAGATGTATTTTTGTTACTTAGTTGGCCCTTCTTTATCTAACAATACTTGCCAGTTGTCAGTGCATATCTGTGACATCGTGAAGAAGTTCAGGAATTCTAGTTGCGTGTTTGATGTTCTACTATGGCTTTTTATTTCTTTATCTTGTATTTCACTGTGGCTTATATGGTTTTTCTTTTTTGTCATTTCTATGATCTTGTTATGTTTTAACTCATCCACTGTTCCTCTTTTGTGGGGTTAGTATTAATTCTTAATCCTTTCTTTAACAGATCAAGAAGTCAATTACTGTGGGCGTGATTGGCCTGCCAAATGTTGGCAAGAGTAGTCTCATTAATAGCTTGAAGAGAAGCCATGTTGTCAATGTCGGTGCTACTCCTGGTTTAACAAGATCAATGCAAGAGGTGCAATTAGACAAAAATGTTAAGTTGTTGGACTGCCCTGGTGTTGTGATGCTAAAGTCTCAAGAAAATGATGCTTCCATAGCTTTACGAAATTGCAAAAGAATTGAGAAGCTGGAAGATCCAATTAGCCCAGGTAAGTGGAGGGCTTGAGGCATTCCCTTTCTTTTGACACAGCTTAATCTGCCTTGCTGTGTGTTCATGTTGGAGAAATGGAGTTTGAGCCTCTTATGAATTTGAGCCTAGACAAGAAATCCCTGGAAATCTAGTCTGCTAAGCGTGGCTTTTATAAAAAAGGAAACACTGATGCTATGAATCATGTAAACTTGAAAAAGCCATATTTATGTCTGGCACATTTTTTGACATTCTATTAGGCATGATCTGACCCATCAAATTCCTTGTGGATGCTTCAGAGTTATGAGGTGTTCTTGACTGTGTCTGTGCTTCCTAGCAATAAAGATTACATAAAAACCAGCAAAGGGGCCCAATTTCTCTGCAAGACAAAATAAGATCTTCCTAACAAAAAGAAGGAAAAAAAAAAAAGAATGCTAACATTTGATATTGATAAGACGTAACCTTAAAAATGTGAGCATTCCTCTCTGAGCAAATGTACCATAACATTGCTAAACTGCCTATTGCCACTAATGCATTCGACTCTTTCTTAACAGAAAATGAAATTCATCTGTCCTTTCCCTGTAATCCCTCCTGTAGAAACCCTAATATATCTTTATTTTCCCTGTATGAAACAGTAAAGGAAATTCTCAAGCTATGTCCAGCTCCTCTGCTGGTAACACTTTACAAGATTCCAAGCTTTGATTCAGTTGATGACTTCATACAGAAAGTTGCTACAGTCAGGGGCAAACTCAAGAAAGGTGGAATAGTTGATGTTGAAGCTGCTGCTAGAATCATTCTTCATGATTGGAATGAAGGTAATGCAAATATGAAATTCAAAAGCTGAAACAAACAGAAATGATACGCGCTTTCTTTTAAAATAAATATAAAGCAATGATTGATGATTTGCTTAACCAAGAGATACTCGGCTTGCTTGTTTCAGGTAAAATTCCGTATTATTCTTTACCCCCAGTTAGGAATCAAGGAGAGGCCTTCAGAGACAAAGATAGTTTCTGAGTTTGCCAAGGAGTTTGACGTTGATGAAGTCTACAAAAGTGAATCTTCATTCATAGGAAGCCTTAAATCTGCTGATGACTTCAATCCTGTTGAGGTTCCTTCATGTCACCCTCTCAACTTTGACCAGTCAATGTTAGAGGTTTGTTACTGGATATGGAGTCTTGCCTATGAGATCGTGCTGCTTAAACTTTTGAATATTCTAAATCAGTATGATAAATTACCACTTGGTGGGTCCTTGAAATATGGGTTATACCAACTTAATCGTCAGAAGATGATTGCCATGATTAGATTTGAATAATTTCTGAAACCACGCTACTTAATCCTATTCCAAGTTTTGTTAATTTAGTTATCAGCAGGACTATGATGATTCCTGGGAAATGCTTTTTTGCGTGTTGCTTTATCTTAATCATGAACCTACAATATCAATTTTTCATTAATAAAATCATCTTATTGTTCAACGCCATGTATTTTAGGATGACGTGCAGCCTCAACCAACAAATCAAGGTGAAGGTCGTGAGAACGCAGCAGAAATCAATGCTGACGAGTCCATGGAATGTGAGGATGACAGCAAGAGCAAGGGGAAAACTGCTGCTTGTAGGCAAAATGAGAAACTATATGCAGAGGAAGGAATGCTTAATACAAAGCTTCGGAGAGCAGAGAAGAAGAAAAGGAAAAAGTCTAACAAAGCTGCATCCGATGGCATGGACGGCGATTATGACTTCAAAGTTGACTACTTCCAAAAGGGAACTGCAATGGATGCTGATGGGGGACAGAGCGATCAGAGCGAGGATGATGATGATAAACACAACTCTCAACAAGTGCCATCGTCCGGCATGCAGACCGATGAATAATGGGGTAGCGGGCATGCCTTCAATTTTGTCATTTGGCGTTGGCTTTGAATAGTTTTCTCTTGGTTGATTCAGTTTTTAATATATATTTGGGGCAACAGTCAAATTATTAGATTTCAAGAATTCTTGTCCTGTTGCGGTGTCTCCGAATGGGATTTTTGTATGGAAAGTTGTTGCTCAATTTTCAGTTAAGAGATTCTTCTCTTAAAGAAATTTAACTTTGAAATGTCTGAATGAAAAATTTCAAGTGCATGAGGAATTGTCTACTCTGATTCAGCTCGGATTCCAGCCATTTTCGTGTAAGCATGATGCGTTCTTCTCTTCCACCTCTCTAATTCTTCTATCTAACAAATTTCATTAAGTATGTAATGAACGAAAAATAGGATTTCATCGCTCAAATTCTTTTTTACTGCTAGGAATTGTTTGGGGCTCTTATATTTCGCAAAATACGATTAAATAACTATTCTTGAAGGTCTTATACTGTCATTTCAATGAAGCACATAGACTTTCAATCTCAAAAAATCGGTTTGTTGCCCCTCTATGCGCATATTTCTATTCAGCACGTAGTTAGTTTCTGTTGAGTCATGTATGGACCCAGACGTGTTGAGATATTTTATTTGATAATGAAAATAAAAATAAACAATTGAGATTGGAATAAGTGTTTACATTTAATACGTGATAGAAGTATATTGAGATTGGGATTTTTATGGGCTCAAAATATGATAGGAATTACAAGTGGCCATTATTGATCAAGTCCGGGCTGACCCGAATCCGGCGTGGTCCAGTACTAACATATGTCGCACATGCAAACAAGACGGTAGGCCCAGCAAACCAAACCGATCCGAATCCGCATGATCTATCGAGTTCCGTTTCTACCCTGAATTTGAATTCGAATGCGCGGTAAGCGCGAAGCTCGTCTCTTCCGTTCATCCAAAACGAAGACCCTGACGCCTGAGCTTCATTCAATATGTCTATCCACGATATCTGGTTTCCGTAATTTGAAAAATTGTATCTAGATCTCGATCTATGGCTTCTGCGAAGGACGTGGGGTCAGTCTGCTTGTATATATTGCCACAACCGACTGAGTAACTGAAAAATCTGAGCTTTTCGGCGTGCTAGGTCGGCGTGTTAGTTAGACAATTTGAGTGGGATGAGTGGAGGTCGTCGTTCATCGGCGGGGATAGGTTTCGGTGACCGAGGCAGTCTATCGGCGACGAAATTTAACTTTTGATCCTGAGGTAATTCAAAATGCTTTTTATGGGTGCAATTTCTGGAGATAATCAATAACTTGCCTTACACATTCAGGACGCGAGCTCTTATCCTCTATCTCCATCACGTCGGCGTCTGCGCTTTCCTGCCAATCCTCTGATCAATGTCGGCGATAGAGAAGCTGTTCATTCAAATCTTCGAGAAGAAGAAGCGAATAATCGATCAGGCCCATCGTCAGTGTCATCTATTCGACCAGCACCTTGTGTCTAAACTCCTTATCGACGGAATTGTCCCTCCTCCATGGCTGTCCAACCCTATGCTTACCTCCCTTACCTCAGATCCCAAAGGTAATGCTTCATCTCCTTCCTCAGAAACCATTTCTTCTCTCAACGCCCATGACTTGGGCTTATTTGACCTGACATTAGTGTTTTTAGGGTCATAATATGGATTTGGAAGTCCGTAGATTAGTTTCCACCCTCGAGAGTGAAAATTCAACCATACGTTGACTCTCACAGGACCAACTTGTTTCTAGTGTTTCCTTGTTTTATGGCTTTTTCTTTCGATATGAAACTTAGAGGGGGCTGGGGAGGGAAGAGATTGCAATTTTTTTTCCCCGGCTAAATTTCAATAACTGTGATATCATAGTGTCGCTGTGAAAATTCACGATGGTTTTATTTGTCATATGTTTCCTTTAGCATTATACTGAGTATTGTCCACCAAATATTGTTCATCAGGAGTATAAATTGAAGTAGTAAACAAGAAGCACACTGATCTGAAAAGAGGAAAATCATAAAGATTTTATTTTTTTCTGTCAAAAACATTGGTTTGCAGGAAAATTGGGGTTTAAGAGAAGTTTATAGTTACAGGTAATGTCTCCCATATGATGTAAGTAATTGAAGCGGGCCATTATGATAGGGAAGATCCAGTATATTTTTGGTTAATGGTACAAGAGGTAAACCTTATATCGCACCGGTTCACAATAGTTATACTTCATTTTATACGTAATTTCAGATCTACGACTTTTCCATGTCTCGAAGCCTTAAAAATTTTGAGGTGTTGTCTGATTTTATTTCCAATGTTATGCCATGCTTCAACTTTCTGATACTGAACACTACTTCAGTTCTCTATTATTTCTTTCCTTTTTTATCTGTAAAACATGGCAGGACCCGGGGGGATTAGGTTGATTTATATGCTCTTATTTATACATTAAATTCGAGTAGTACTTCTCATCTGGTTGTATTTGGGCCAGTATATGTCGGCCAATTCTGCTTTGGGATATTTAATCCTGATCCATTAAAAGTAATTTCTGCACGTGCAGATTTAAATGAAGATGATCTTATATTTGGAGCGCTATTATCAAGAGCACAGTCTACAAATCCTATCTCTGATCGTGGTTGGAATCGGCAGGGCAACGTGGTTGCTACAACTGATGATGGTCAGTCTCAAAGTTGTTTACATAATGAATTCCATGCTGTAAATAGAGATATCGGCGCAGGAGATGGATTTTCAAATTTGCCAGATTGCTCTGTCAATAATGTTGGACGTTCCTCATTTAGTGCCCCAGAAATGGATTCTACAGCTATATCTCCTCAAATTCAGATGGAATCAAGAATCTCACACAGTTACAACGACCCCGCTCTCTCCCTGGCAAAGTTGCAAAGATCAAAGTCAAGACAGAGGGCTCTGGAGCTCCGTCATAGTGCAAAGGCAGCTAAAAGCTGTTCAGGATATGATAATTATATTGATGTTTGTGCTAGTGGAAAAACAGGCTCTGCAACTTCTTCCCCGCACTTGGACCATTTCGAAGGGTCAGAATTAGCGAAAGCTTCTAATAGCAATATTCACAGTTGTGCTGCGGAAGACGTAAAAAGAGGTGAGTGTTCGACTCAGAGAAATGATCAGTCTAACTATTCTGGTCGCGTTACGAGATCTAGAAGCTTAGCACTGAAACCCAACTCGTTGGATGTGGTTAGTTCTTCCGAAGTGAAAGAAGATGGTCCTGAGTCTAATAATGTGATCAACCGATCGGGGCCAGTTGATGCCCCTTGGTTTTCAAATGGAAGTTGCGAAGCTAAGGAAACAAATAAAGGAGATTATCAGAGGAGGGAAACAGAAGACAATGCTTTTAGTAAGAAAGTAACAAGATCTAGAAGTAATAGCCAAAAAAAATGTGATAACGAATTGCAGAAGCATGAAAGTGCCTTGGCTGGCGGCAACGAAGTCGAACCACCAGATTCTATGCAACCAGTAGTTAACGGTGGACGGACTTTTTTCAGCGAAACCTGTGATTATGAAATGAATGTCAGAGGAAAACAACCAAAGATAGCGGCTGCTGCAGCGACGAACAAGAAAGCAATGTTAAGATTAGAAGATTGCCTGGAAGTTTTTTCCAGGCACCTAATGAGGATGCTTTGATGCATGGTGGTTCTTTAAAGTCAATCGGGAAACAACAAAATCACCTCAACCTTCAGTTTCACAGCATTTACAGCCTCCTGCAATGCGTGTTGTTAGTTCCTTCCATTGTGAGAAGGATCCAGATTTATGTGCAGTAGAAGTGAAGACCACTGAAGGAAAATCAAAGTCTGTCAGCCACATTTTTGCTGATAAAAGTTCCAACTCCTCTTCAAGTGAAAAGGATTGCAAATTAGATACAGAAGTTGCAGCAACAGCTTCTTGTGGGAATACAAGGGCTGCGACTACGTCCAGAACTGAAGGATCATTGAGGCATGTGAATTCTGCCGATTTAGATAGCAGACATTCTACTTTGAGGAAGTCTTTGCTTGAGAAATCATTGCATGCTGAAACAGTTGTGGCCGATAAATCCTTGAATGCTCGAGAAAATATAATATCAGGTGTCAATGTCACTTGTAATATTGATGACAGAGCTGCTGGAACTGTTGCGAAAGATGCTGTAGAGTTCGATGTTTTAGTTGATAAACGTAAATCTTGTTCAGGGTCGTCCCCTAGAGTTGGATTGGACGTTTCAGTCTCGAGGCCGCCACCCTCTAATTTTGTTATGTCTGTGAAGCCCAAACAACTTGACTTTGATAATGTTGAAGAGAGTATGAATGGAATTCCAGGTGCCGATCTGAAAGCAGGAGGACAGGGCGTGTCGCCTGGTAAAGGAGCTTTGACCATGTTAGAGCCAGGATATTTGGATGACAATGTATCATCTCTTTTATGCGAAGAGAAATGCAACTTTTCCCTGGATGCGCAATTGCTGGGGAGTCAGGAAGCTACGGTCAGAGAAGACGGCCCTCAAATGAGATCTTGTGAAAGCGATGCCGAGGAGACTGATGCAGCCAGGAAATCGCGAGGCGTCATGTCATCCAAGTCACAGTCATTTGGGGTTCAGAAGCAGTTATGTCAGCATGCTCCCATAGGAAGTCAGAACTTACCTTCCACAACGAATGGCTTAATTCCATCACAAACTGCTTCTCAAAATTCATCTGGAAGTTTTCCAAAGGAAGCTGTGGCATCCAAACTTGTTTTAGAAAACATTAATGCGGGAGGTGATGAATGCAGTTCTAGAATAATGAAGGACACTTGTTCTACAGCAGTTACTGGTAGTGATCCGCTTGGAAATGCAGTTCAAACTGTTACCGTTATTCCAGTTGGGTCTACAGCTGCCATGGATGAACCGGACTTTTCTTCGACAAACCGGGACACAGGTTCTGGCGTTTGCTTACATCAAAATAACAGCTTATCGAGGGGGAAGTGGTTCAACGATGAAAAAGTCGCCGGTTTGTCAAGAAAACTCCGGATTCCGAAAAATTCCACAGGGAGTTTTGCCTCTGATAACCATTCTTGCCCTCAGCATAAGAGAAGAAAGATTGGAAGTCAGGCAGAGAGATCTCTAACCGCCTCTCCTAGCCATCTGGAAAAGCAACATGAGTCTAGTAACCCAAGGCTGGTGAGTGGGAACTTTGACATTAAAGAAGACGACGGAGAGGCTAGCACAGAAGTTCAATATTTGACATCTCATCAAGAGGATATAGAAAATTCGCATGCCAGTGACTACATAGCAGAAGAAATGCAAAATACCGAGGGATGCCACGTAATGGAAAGGTCTTCCCTTGAAATAATATCGGACCAGGTACCGAATTTTCTTTTTTAGACTCTAGAATTGTTGAGATTGAATTTGTACGATTTTCTACTCCAATGATCAGCGTTGACTGAGTCTACCGTATATTTTGGAATGGTGAAAGTTGCTTTCAGCGCCACTATATGGCATTTAAAACTTTTCAACTTTTTAGATAATAATTGTCATGCAGTATGCTTTGGCATATACATAAATTGATATATTTTGATGGACCGCTACATTTTTTTATAGCAAATAAGTATATCAATATATTATAATAAAATCGAATAGATTGATACTGTAGATTTATAATATTGTTCTTTTAATTTAGATATTTTGGGTTGGAGTGTCTGTTGATAGTCTTTTTCTAGTTATGTTAATGATAGTTCGAAGAATCACGGAACATTGAAAGCAGTGTGGTTTTCAGTTTGGCCTATTTCTGTCTTTGGATGGCGTTAATCTTTCAATATGCTTGTTGCTTGTATTCACAAACAATGTTGCATTGGGCAAGAATGGCGTGAGCAACTGAGCCCTTCAAATTTCTGCAAATGTTTCCTGTCCGCTTTCCCTAGAACAGTTTTTTAAATGATTTTCTTGTCAGCAGAAATTTAGCTTGGATGGAAGGGACACAAGTAGCAATACTGTTCTTTTTTTCACTTCAAGTGGATTAGGAGAATCTTTTGCACCTTGTTTGACTGAACAGGGTTCTAGCAACTCTCACAATTGTTTGACGGCGAAAAAGGTTGTGACAAATTCATGTGGTTTTGGTATTGGTTCAAGTAAGCAGTGCACCATGGACAAGAGCCTGGATGCAAAAGAAAGCAGTTCGGGAAGGATTTATCTGGGAGAGACTGCTATGCTCTTAGAAGGTCCATCTGTCTCTCAGGGGATTCAATGCTCGGATCTGATTGATACAGATGAAACTGCACCCGAGATTGAAAGTTTCATTATCCAACCAGATGAGGCGCGGCGATGCACTGATGGAGATCAGATTGAATTAGAAAAGTTGAACTTCTCAAGTGATACAGATGAATATGCCTCCATTCTGGAGCGCCTTAGTAGTTCTACTTTCGTGCATTCTCCGTTTTGCTCTTCTTCAAACCCATATAGATTACACAAGATGCCGGATATTTATCAGTCTTTACCAAATGGACTTGTCGAGGGCATGATGGGTATAAGGACTTCCCTTCCTGCAAATGGTGAGAGTGGAAAGTCGTTTTCTGATTGCCTACCAAATTGCAAAAATCAATCAACGTGGGACATCAAGAAAGCTTGTGTTTCTCCCATTCAAACTCTATGGGATAAAATTAATTCAAAATATGGCAGTTCAGGGAAACGAGAAAGTTCGAAACCGGAGCTGCCCTGTATTGATGAAGAAAATGAAGCTGCGGATGAAATTGCTAATACTTTCCAAAATAGGATTCGTCCAGAAGGGACGACTGGCTCGATCATAAGAGAACCACTTGCGGAAATTACGGATGATGCAAAGCCTTCATTAGTTTCCCAAGATGATATATTGGATGATGGATGTGGTCTAGCCAGAGAGTTCAGCTTCTGTGGGACTAGCAATCAGGAAAAACAGATACGTGAAAAGAGTAGTGCCTGCAGGAGAAGATTCACTGGTAAGGGGAAGGAGAACCAGAGTATATCGCGAGGAACAAATCATGCTAGGAGGACCACTGAATCGCTTCGCAATAGATCCAGTAGGCCAAAGTTATCTGGCAAAAACAGCATCAATAAGGGTCCCGCTTATCCCGGTGGGAAGTCTTCGTGCAGCAATATTGTATCCAACATCACATCCTTCATTCCTCTTGTACAACAGAAACAAGCAGCAGAAGTTACTACAGGTAATTGATCTTATTTAGTTCATTTACCTTAGTTAATATAACTTGCAGCAGCCCCGATTTTATTTGACCACAACTGCATTGTATTTTTCGCAACCCAAATATGCATACTTGTGTTGGCACTTCGTCGTTAGTGGCTGTATTCTTTATAATGTTATGGTTAATGTTATCATCTATCATGTTCCATAGGTATGGTCGATGGGTTGATATTTTTCTTTTATGACCTTATCATTGTTTGTGAACGTCTAGGGAAGAGGGACATTAAAGTTAAAGCCCTTGAGGCTGCTGAGGCCGCAAAGCGTATGGCAGAAAAGAAGAGAACGAACGTAAGTTGAAAAAGGAAGCTTTGAGGCTTGAGCGGGAAAGAATCGAGCAAGACAACCGAAGGCAGCTGGAGCTGCAGAACAGAAAGAAAGAGGAGGAACGAAAGAAACGGGAGGCAGAACTAGCTGCTAAGAAGAGACAGAGGGAGGAGGAGGAAAGAATCGAGAAAGAAAGAAAAAGAAAGCGGGTTGAGGAAGCAAAACAGAGGGGGGAGGAAGAAAGAATTGAGAAAGAAAGAAAACGGAAGCGTGTTGAGGAAGCAAAGACGAAGCACCAAGAGCGTGAGAAGTTAGGTGCTAAGAAAGAAGAAAAAGGAACAAAATGCCGCGATGCTGTAAAACGCCGCTTTCTTATTAAATATTGCTCTTTTCATTTATTTTTTTACTTTGAAAAATGCTAATACTTGTCTTTCTGGTCCAGCTCGATGGAAAAAATGAAAGCAAGGATTGTATGGATGGAAGAGAAAAATGCAAGAACTTGGAAGATAATCGAGAAGGCAAAATGAGAATTCCATTGGCGGAAACTTTTACCAGCAAGAACCCAATGACTGATGAAACGAAAGAAAGCCTAAAACATTCTGAAGCCGTGAATGATTGTGGTAATAAAGAAAAGGTAACATCTGTGGCTATGGCTTTCTCAAAACCTTGCATTTTAAGTGATTTCACAGTAGTTCGGTATTACTCGAGGGCCTCTATATATATATATATATATATATATTTTGCTTTCCAATACAAACACCAAGAAATGGAGGAAGGGTGTCCGGGAATCTCCATGCTCTCGTTGCTCCTGACAATGCATATTATTTTTACTCAAAGTTGAAGCGTTTGCTTTTTATAACCATCATGGGATTAAATTTCTCCACAGATAATAGGCAATACGATCAAAGGAACTGGAAATGACAATTTGATTGCCCAAAACACGATTGAAGAGCAATCATATGACATTTCTCCATACAAAGGTTCAGATGACGAAGACGAAGACGATGATGACCGTACAGATAATAATAAATTTGTCCCTTCATGGTCAAGGTTTGTGACTCTTTCTCCCTCCGTTAGTGATGACGTACTCGGATTGGAAACCCTCATTGTGAACTGACATTCACAATTCAAAATGAAATTAGGAGAACAAATTAAATAAAAAGCTTCAATCACATGTAAAGCATACAGATGCATGTTCAGATCTAGAATTTACTCAGCAGCTGAGATGATTGCAAGTGTCACATAGTCTCATTGTTTATGTTTTGTAATATCCACTCGCCTAATCACACTTGAGAGTCATTCTGCTTTTTGCAGTAAACAACGCCTGTACTCGGCAGTTTCTTCCCAGAAATTGGTAGATCCAGAAACCATATTTCCTCTGCAAAGCTTTTGCAATATTTCAGAAGGTAAACTATTCATAGACGTCACAAGTTTATGGAATAATCACTCTGTCAACAATCTAAGCCATAATTTCCTTCTTTTGTAGTTCTCCTGCCTCGAAAACTTCAAGGTAAGTAGGGTTTCCAGAAAGCAAGTGTTATTTTGTTCTTGATCTCCAAGGAGGCTCAGATAGATGTACAGAAAGAGAAGCTGATTGAGGTTAGTGAGAAAGGAATAGAATGAGGTAAAACGTGAGGAGTGTTCCGTTCATGCTCTTTCTAGCTACTCGTGGAAGGAGATGAAGGCACGAGGCTGTCACAGGTGCACTATGCACGACCCTTGCTCTTTTATGAGGAGGTTTCTTGTTTCTCAACAATTCATGGCGTTGTTGATTTGGTGTGACCTGAAACATGCCACGTAGTTTTTGGGTTTTGGTGTATTATTAACCTGGGAGAATAGTTGAAGGTTAGGTGCATATTAGACTCTTTTGTGCAAACAAAATGAGAGAAGGTGGAAATAATATATAAATAGTAGATTATAAGCATATAAGTTTATTTTATGGATTATTTAATTTTTTTGTATAAACATACTTCAAGTATGAAAACTAATTAAGGATCACCTGAACATTGTCTCAGATAATATAATTCTACATTAAAATAGAAATTTGGAATATATCAATATATTACTTTACCAATTTGTGTATTTATATATATAATACAAAAGTAGTATACTGTATTTCATTTTCTTAATGTAATGCAAAAAAAATGTTTAGTGCAGGATCAAAATGTAAGCAAAGTTGTACTACTTCAAATCATGATTAGTGAATTTGTTTGTTTTAGGTAACTCTGTAATATATAAAAAATGTATCTACGCAATATCAACAAAGATATGGGACACAAAAAAAAAAAAGGCTTTACTGTATATAAGAGTTGAGTAATACAACTCACTTTTGTTTTGTGCATCACAATGGACTCACTCAGGGGAAGTGAGATGATAAATGAAGCTATGATACATTTTAGGATTTCCGTTATATTTGTCTAAGGTGCGTGGTTTAGGAGGACAATGTTTTTGTATCCATATCATATTTATAATTAAAAAATTAGCTATAAAAAATAAAGACGATTATTGAATATTACAAAAATTTGCTATTTCCTCTTTCTTTTTTCCTAAAGGTGAAAACATTATTGGCCAACAAACACAAAAATATTCACAGAAGAGTTGCAGATTATTTTTGTCAAGGTAATTTTGCCTTTTATATGTCAAAATTGTTGAAATGTTGTCCTTAAACTAATAGATATTAATTTTTACCATTAACTGATTGACTTTTGGGTATTTGGCGGGAAAAAAAAAGTGATTGACTTTGGCTGAAAGAACATTTTTGCTACTAAAATCTATTCAGAGAGTAACTGACATACTAGAGTTCAACGGAAGAGTAATTAGCACACTCGATTTCTCACGGTGTCGTGTTTAAAGCATCTTATGTTTTGCTTACTAGGTATTTATTAGTAAAAAAAAAAAATCAATCAACAATATTATCGCAAGTTACAAAAATTTATCTCAACTTACAAATTAAGCACTATAGATCAGGAAAAAAAAAAAAATCTCTGTTTGCACTAATCGGCAATGGCAAAATATGGTGCACATATTTTGAAGGATTTGCCATTTACAGAAAATGCTTAATCAACTTATATTAATTCACTAATTAGTTATATATGCACATCCTAATTAATTATATGATTGATTAACTTTTATTGTGCTAATGAATACGTATACAACCTGCAGTAACATTAGCTATTACAAGCATTCATTTATTAATGAAACTCTTTTTTTTTTTTAATGGCCGGAGGTCTTATTTTCTCATTGAAATGTGAAAGTAGTATGAAACATGCAGAGTGGCACAAAATAAATGTGTGTCCACAGTATCTATCGTATTATATTAGTTTTATTTTATTGAAATTTTGGCAATTATTATGTTTGAACAAAATCATTCATCTTTGTACCATTTAATTATAAATTAATATGGGGTATTCTTAAATTTTAGTCATAATTTTTTTTATTCATTTTCGAATTCAAAAATACTTCCTCAGCAATTTGAGTATGATTTTGAAAGCGGCTACTTAAAATTATCTTTAGCCCAAGGAATATTCCATCATAGACGCAACACAATGTTAACGGATTCGTCAGGGGTTGACTTTCCGAGCCAACAAATGAGAGAAGTTGGGTAATACTACCTCTCTTTTTCTTAATATAAAAACTAATTGACTAATTTAAGTAAATTAAAAAAATTAATTTAATTAGTTATTTATAATAAATAAATATTGTCTTTTCTAAAATATCTTTATTAATCAAATATATTGGGTAGAACTACTATTATTACAAGAACCATCTTAGAAAAAATAGATAAATATGAGAGACAAAGTGGATTGAGATCTCATATTTATGATTAAAATAAAAGTTAATCGAGTTTTTATATTAAAGATCAAAAGTAGTAACGCAGAATATATTATTCAAATTCAACTGTTTAATGCTCGCTTGGGAGTATCACCTTCTAAGTTTATTACGACTCATGATCTATTGGATACTCAAAACTCAAGTGCCATAAATGGCGACCTCATCATAACCTGATGGCCATTTCCACTAAATCGGCTTTTCTAAAGAACTGGATCTGGATTTGGCCTGATCTCCTTTGTATGTTTAAATCCTTCTCCAATGCTTATTTTTTTATTAATGATCTCGGTTTCTTCAGTAGGCTCTTTTTATTTTCTTTTCAGTGGTGATATGAACATTGTACTTTAAATGTTCTTTTCTCTTTCTTTTTAATGAAAAAAAATTCAATTTTTAAACATCAATATTATAAAATGAGAAGGGTAAATACTAAATAAGAGAAGTGGATTTCTCGTACCAACAACAGTTAGGTCTAACAGAAAGGACTGATATTTTATAACTTGTCAAATCAAAATTCGAATCCTCATTAATAGAAATATCCACATTTAGTGTCTGATAGTACTTTGAATGGGATTATCGAATGCGGGAAAAAAAAGCAGTGGATTTCCTGTGAATGAGAATATACAAATCTGCAAATTGAGGAAAGTACAGCCAATGAAGAGGATGCTACATGGATCCAGTGAGATTCACACATAAATGAATGGGCAGTTCAGAAGAATACAAAAATATTATGAGTGGACCAAACAAACACCGTCGTTTTTAAGATTGAGGAGACACATGAATGAACCAAACCATTCATTGTCAAATTGTCATATTCAATGTTTTTAAGTGCCCTTTCTTTTTTTTTTTTTCAACTTGTTACCTTTGATTTGATTCACATATACTTACAAAATTTGCTTTCATTTGTGTTGGCCAAAGGATCTTCCCCTACGATTTTCTCGTATCTTAACTACCCAAAAAGCTCAAACTCTTCTAAATATATTATACTTTTCAACAGAATTATGTTGATTTTCAAATATAAAATTTTAAATGGCACCGAATTTAAAATCCTTGAGCACAGCCAAAGACCCTCAGGTCTAGTGGCACCATTCCCTCTCTATAGAAGGAAAGTCATAGGATCAAATCTATGCACTGTTTTTGTGCATTGATATGTCTGTGTGTACTCTTCATTTGACTCCTATTTTTTTAAAAAAAAAAAACCTTGAGCACAAATATTTTTATTTTCAAGTCTCTAGCTATAATTTTTTTTTCAAATTAACACAATAAACTAAGAATACTTAGGTCAGGTTATTTATCTATTATATAAAGTTCTCCAATCACATATAATCATATCTTTCATTTTTTTTTTTCAATGTGGGCTTATAATTCAATAATATTAAAAGTTAACATTTCAAAAATAGAAGACATAGTTATGTTTGATTGGAGAACTTGACATAATAGATATAAAGAACTTGATCTTAAGTGTACTTTCTTTCTTTTTTTCATGTGAGCTTATAACTCAATAATATTAAAAGTTAACATGTGTTTGATTGGAGAACTTGACATAGTAGATATAGAGAACTTGATCTTAAGTGTACTTCATAAACTAATGGATTACAAGTTCTTCGTGTGTTTTCTGCCAATAATTGAATTATTTAAATAAAAATATAGTAAAAATTAATAAATATGTGAAAATTATAACTTATACCCTTATGATAGAGTGCCAATGGACAAACAAGTGGCTAATTGATGCAATAAGACAAACCAATAATTAACAAGAACAAAAGTAAGAAAGGATACCGAAAACTTTTGATAAACTATTATTATCTCTCATAAATAAAAGTATATTATCTCTAAAAAAAAGCTCTCTTATATATATAAAACTGGAGGAGCGGAGTAAAAGAATAAAAATAAATTGTGTTACTAAAGAATTGTTAGTTCAATCTTTTAAGTTTTAGTAGTTTATAGACATGCATGAATATGATGATGTGCCGCGTCTCAAAAGTTTAATTTAACTACAAATGCACATTTAATTATGTCTGCCATGGCATGGTGGTTAAGAAAATAAAACAAAGTAGTGCATAATTAAAAAATAAAAAAAAGGAAAAAAAGGAATGAAAAGTAGAAGAGTGAGAATGAACACAATACTAAAAGAGAAAGCTAAGCAACATATAACAAAAGGTTAGGCGAACTTAGTTACATAATAATTGCATTGTCTACAATTTGTAAAGAATATGATTTACTATATATACATTTTATTTTTATATATATATATTGATTAATTAAAAAATAAAGGAAAAAGAAGTAGACGGGTTGAGAATGAACACAGTGACAAAAAGAGAAAGCTAAGCAATATATAACAAAAGTTAGGTGAACTTCCTTATATAATAATTGCATTGTTTACGATTTTTAAATAATATGTTTTACTATATATACATTTTATTTTTACATCGATTATTTAATATTGACTTTTATGAAAGATAACTTCAAATATTATAATGTAGATATAGATGCACACACATAAAAGAAACCTGTAGGGTTGGACCATAAGACCAATAGGAGTTGGATTTAGTAAAAATAGTTAATCTCTCACAATATGACAAAACAAGATTCGAGTCCTCACTGAGAGATATATCCATATTTAGTATCCTACAGCATCTCGAACAGGATTGTCTCCATTAGGACGAAACTTTTGCTTTGAAAAAAAAATTGAC